GATTCTGGCATTTAGGAGTCACAGAGAGTGTCTGGGTGCTGAGGGAAATACAAGTTTAACTTTATTTTCTCTAATACGTTAAATTTCTCATTAAATTTAGAATGCATAATTTAAGATACATAGGTTCTCATTCTTTTCTTACAGACATTTAAAGTATATTCTGTCACACTGTGTAGAAACTTTGTTTTCCTACAAAATATTTGAATAAGTCAGCAAACACTGGGAAGGTTCATAGGCTGGGAAATGAGAGATAAGCAAGCACTGCTGGTACCAAGGATCTGGGAAAAAAACTTCATTGCTTCCCCTTCCTATGTAAATCCCCATCTTCTTTTAGTTGTGTCTAAATTACTTTGATTTTAACTATCCCAGTGTAAACAAATGGGTTGAACCATTTATTGATCACAAGGTCAGTTCCTTCCCTGTGCTGCTGCTGGAGCTGCAGGACTGAGGGACTCAGCTGCTGCTCTGAGATCCCAGGCATTGTTTTGCATGAATTCAGTAAACAGAAAGTTCTGAGAAATCAGCCAGCAGAGTGCTGTTCAGGAAGATTTGCCCCTTGAGAACGTTCCCTTGTTCTGGAAGCTGCTCCTGGGTCCCTTGGATATCCAGCAGCTCTGGACATGCTGGGAACTGTTGTGTTTATCCAAGTGGGCTGCTCATGTGACAAGTCTTAATGCCTTGGGGAGTGACCATGACTGAAAACTCCTGTGCTTGCTGGAAAAGTGCCTTTTTACCTTCAAGAATGCCAAATCAAATCCCCTTTTCTGCCAGCCAAATGAAATCCATTCTTTAATTTTCGCTCTACCTGTGGGTTAACCATCTACCTTAAAATTCAGCCTCGGTTCCTTCTGTGTTGCTTATTCCCAGCACAATCAAGAGATGATTAATGACAGAAAAAGCTGTTCTCAGGAATTTGTGGCAATAATGTGTTGAGAGTTGCTTTTTGTGCCTCCTGCAGCCCTTCCATTTGCTTACTGACCTGCATGAATTCAGCTCACAGGACGGTGGTGGAATATTCAAGATTGGGAAGCTCTGTCTCATTTCTTAGCACAGGAGGTTTTTTTCCTAATCAAATTAAGTTGCCAACTTTTCATGGAGATGCCTCATAGATTTATTATTGCTTGTAGCTGGAGCAGGGAATCACCACTCATTTATGTGGGGGCCTGACATGATTTATGCTGTGTTGGTTGCGTTGACGTAACAGCCCCTGGAATAAACCCTGTGGGTTTTGCATCACCTGTGGGTGCAGTGCTTACTGGATTTTTCTCTGTGATTCTCCAGGGAGCTGCAGTGCTTGACTGCCTGGAACACAGCCTGGCAGGCTGCTCTTCATTTGGAGATTTGTGCAGGGAGTTCTGTAACTTTTCTCCTCCACATGGGATGAAGGCTCACAGAAACTTACAGGTTCTCATACAGCTTCTAAAAATCATTAAAGCAACCCCCACGTTATTTTCTACTTCTCCCCCACCCATTATTTTCTTTCCATTCTCTGGAATGCAGGCATGTAGAGAAACATTATTGTCATTTTGTGGTGGCTCACAGCTCTGAGTTTTTGAAGTGTTCTTTTTAATGTAGTGACATGGATTTACTTCTTTTCACCAAAAAAAAATTCTTGGAAGAAACTTGCTGAAGAATGTGCTGATTCTGAAACCATAACCCTAAATTACCCATTTTGGAGGGATGACATATCAGAGCTATGGATTTCTCTTTTGTACTATAGCCACTTGCTGCTCCACAAATAAAAGACAGCTCAGCAGCTTTCTGCAAGCTGCTCGAGATTTATAAGATGTTTTATTTGTGTGCAAACTCTTGAGTACAAAATATCTATGAATTATGTATTCTTTGTGTCTTCTAATTGCTCAGATCTCAGTTTGTACAGCTCTTGTCAGCACTGGAACCACCTATGAGTTTATTCTTTTCTGTGTCCTGACAATATTTCTTTGTGATTCAGTTGTTAATTCTTAAAGAGCACAAGATTTTTATTAGACTTTTTGAACAACCTTGTAGACCAGATCCCAGCTACTGGTTTTGGTGGAATCATATTCCCTGCACAATAGGTGTGAATCACAGATGCAGATTTTGTGCCACAAAGAAATAAAATTAAACCATTGTGCTTTAATAACACAATAATTACAGCATATTTTTTCCAGTCTTTGACGTACACATTGAGCCAGGTGAATTACTTGGATGGCAGCCAGGCTTGAACTTTGCTGTTGGTAATTGAGATTCTTCAGGCACTGTTCGAGGGCAGTAATGACATCCTGGCCTCAATGGCACCTTGGCCTGCATTAGAAGTCACACCTGGTAGAGAGAAAAGCTGAAGCAAGGGCTGGGAATGCAGGATTTTTTGTAGGTTATGTGTGGTAGCAGAGTTGAGTGGGAAAGCTCCAGAGGAATGGGAGCTCAAGGATTCAGCAGATTACTGCATAATGATTTGTAGATGCATTCTGCAATTTCCAGCTTGGAAATTGAGCTGGGGACAACCATTGCATGCAGTGGCTTCCTCTCAGTCCCTGCTGAAATCAGGAGAAGGGGGCAGAGCAGTCAATAAATGAGCATCTCACTGGATTATGGGCATTTAACAGATGGAATTTGAAGGAACATCAGGATTGGAATGCAACCATCCATACTTGGAGGTGCTGGAAACAGTCACAGTCATCTCTTGGTTCTTTGGAACTAAAGAAAAGGGTCTTTTCCTAGTCAGGCCTCTTTATATTTCTCTTAAAAGAGAGGAGCTTGAGAGCATTGTGTGGGATCCTCCCAGATCCATCTCCTCCACACAGCACTGCCAGTCTCCCTCAGAACTTTCTACATCAGCCATAGCTGGAAGGTGAATTCAGCATAACTGGATGGGATGGAAGAGTGCACAGGAAGGGATTTGCTGGGAGCAGAGATGAGGAGGAGCTCCAAGCATACATTTGATGTATTGAGGTGTTTATAGGTGAGAAGTTTTTCCATTATTGAGACTCTGCTGGCAGCTGAAGGAAGTGTCCCTTGTTAATGAGATCTGAGCTCCACATTTTGACCCAGTGGAGTTTCTGAACCCTCCAGCCAAGGGTTGTTGGGATGCCATGGATGAAGCTCAGCTGTTGGCCAAGAGCCTCCACTTTGGTGCTGCCCAGAGAGATGGATGGGTGCTGCTGCCTCCCATCCCTGGCCAACAAATCCACCCTAGGGCTGGATGTACAGAATGAAGAGCTGCTGACCCTGAGCCAGTGTTCTTTGTGACATCCAAATGGGACATTTGCCCAGGAGGTTCCTCAGGCATACACGGGGTTATCCCAGCACTTGGAGCATTGTGGGGATCCTGTTGGATTTAGATGTGCTTCCTCTCTGAGCATCTCCAAGGAACCAGCAGATGGAAAAGCTGTAATTGCAGAGCATTCCTCCTGCTGGTAGAGGCTCAGAGGCCCAGCATATGCCTCGCTCAGTGAGTCAGTTGTCAACATGATTTTGGCTGCTATGGAGCTTAGGCAGGGATCAGAAAATACCTGCCAAAATGAGGCTGCAGAAAATGTTTGTTTTCTAGCAGATCTAGATATGCCTCGGGTTTTGTTTTCCACCTTTGAACACTTCTCTAGCTGCAGCTGGAGGTTGGTGGGCAGCTGTGGCAGATGTTACAACACCAGCCCTTGTTCTTTGTGCTGGAGCTGCTTGTGTGGGTTTGTTTGCTTAGCGTTGGGTGGGCAGGGCCTGGCTGATGGAGCAAAGCGATGCCTCTGCATGTGGGTCCTGCTCCGAGTCCTGGGGAGAAACCCTGATACTTGGTGTTTGGAAAACAGGAAAGTAAAATGCAAATAGCATTCTCTTATTTGCTCCAGAATGAAGAAAAAAAAAAAAAGACAAAATAATAATAGTAGAAGTTAGTCCAGAGTTCACAAAATTTTATTGTCTCTCTGACTGGCCCTGTGTTTGCAGAAGTGCTGTTAGAGCCTTTCTGCTGGCAGGGAGAATATCCCTGAAGAGTTTTTCACAGTCCATGTGTCAGACAGGAATGCAAAGGATCAATTTACAGCCAGAGACAAAGATCTGAAAATGTCCGGGGGGACCTGGGGGAATGTTTCTCACCCCAGACAGTTTCAGCGATGGAAGTGTTCCCGTTTGCCCGGGGTCCAGCCCTGAGCAGCAGCAGTGTTTAAAAGCAGAGTCTGTGCTGCAGCAGGGCTGGGGCAGGAGCACCAAGCACAGCACAACCTCCCCACAATCCCTTCTGTACAGAGCTGGAGAGAATTCCAGCGTGTTGAGGAGAGCTCAGGAGAGCACCAGGGTGTTCCAGGGAGAGCCTGGGTGCTGTGCCTGTCTCCATGAGGAACTGGCTTTGTTCAGCTGGTCACTCTTTATTATTGGGTTGCAGCTGTCAGAAAAAGCAGGCAGTGAGCTGGGAGTTGTATTTAGAAGTGCCCTCTGGATGGGATGCTTTGGAAGCTGCACAGAGCAGTTGGAAGTAGTTTCCAGTTCAGTTTGGCCAGTTTTTTGATAATGGTTTTACTTTCCCTGAAAGCTGGTAGTAATTTTTTTTTTTTCATATATTCTTGGAGATATTTGTTTTATCATCATTTAAAGTTTCCTGGTAAACTTCAGGCAAAACCAGAGGATGTATTAATCTATTTCATGTCATTTGCAACAGGGTCTGTAAAGTCAGGCCTTAATCTTAGAAATGTATATTGATGTATTCAGCAGGAGATGGCATGAGGGGTTTGTCTGAGTTGCCTGCAAGAGCACAGACACAGTTCATCCTTTGTTTTGACTCTTACAAATGATTGTTGTTTTTAAGACTGGAAAAAAAAAAGGTTTAACTGTTGTGTCTTGAAACCCAAGATGAAGCTGATCATACGAACTCGAGGCACAGAAAAAGTGATCAGCATTTAGGATTTCGGGAGAAAAGCAGGTGCATTCAAGTTGAACCCAGTGCCGAGCACACTGAGGGCTCTGACCCGCCTGCCTGTGCTCTGCCGAGGAGAGAGGCAGGTTTTATTTTCCCTGCTTATTCATTTTCTGAGTCATTCATCTTGTGCTATAGCTATTGAAAACTGTAACAGAGTCTGGGAAGCACTTGGCTTTTGAGTGCTGCCTCCTGATTGGGCTGGGGAATGCTGCTGTTGGGGAATAATGTGTGAATACCATCTGCTCCGAGGAGCCGGAGCCTCCGTGGATTCTGCAGGAGCGGCACCTTCAGCCCGGACTGCGGGCGCGGGGAGCCCGCCTGCCTTCCCTCTCTCTTACCCAAACTTCTGCTCGGCACTGGATTTCCTTTCTGCTTCCCTGTGGAACTTTTATTGTGCTTTGCCCGAAGGCTGAGTTGCTTCTCCTGTGGGTTTTGGAGGTGTTTTTTCCTTTATTTTTTGCCTTGTGTGGGATTCCTTCTGGGGTTCAGCATGCACACCAAGCCGGGAAGTAAATCAGGGAGTTTTGCAGCTGTTTATTGCAGCACGAGAGTTAACGTGGAATGTCTGAGTTGCTCTGAGAAACTACTTCCAAAAATTTGACCTGCTTGTAAAAAGGTAAGCAGGGAAAGACTTTGGAATTTCAGGACTGACTTTCTACTTGCAAGGGGGGTTGTTGTTTTAGGAATGAATGTGAATCATTTGCAGTGTACAGTTGCCTCCTAGCAATGCCTGGGATCAAAGACTGGGTTTGTCTCTGAATTTCTTTAATGAGCAGAGTTGGAACAACGATTGTCTCTTTCTCTTTTGTGTAGCAATTGTTTTACAATAAGTCTTAACCCAAACTTTCTGCAGTGTGAGTGTAATTGTAATTCAGAACAGCAGCTCATTTTTGGGTTTGTATCTTTATGCAGAGAACTCTCAAGTCTCGTTTTCCTGCTTATGGAATCTCTCTTTCTGTTATCTCAGACCAAGCACAGTTAGTTTGCAGCAGTCTGTATTTCCTCAGCAGAGGACAAGATGCAGTTTGTGAGCCTGTTAAATCCTGCCCACTAATGACCTGCTGAGAGAGCTGGGGCCATTCCTTCACCTCGGGACAGCAGAGCTGGGGCCACCACTGTCCCCCTGTTAGCACATCCTGAACTCTTGCATGTGACCTCTAAAATATGGGTATGGATTCTTTTTCTGCAGGTTGTGTTCCAGTCAGACTCTTCTATCCACACAAAACAAAGTTAGCAAGAAATATTAATGGTTTGTAAAATCCTGTCCCTCCTTCCAGTGAGCCACATTATTCATTTTTCTGTGGTCTGTTCAAGGGGGAACTCTGCAAAATATAGTTCTGAGACTTTGCTGAAGACTCATTGAAATTTATTTTTGACAAACACCTGATTTTTAGCTTTTTTTGTGTCGGTGGGTTAATGTTAACTGTGCAGCAAATGTGTGACTTGTTTACTGATATGTACTACAAGGTGAATGTTCAGTACCTGTAATCACGGGAGCAGCAGATTTATGTAACTGATGCTTGATCTGACCTGAGCTTTCCATATCCAGTGGAGTTCAGGTAAACAGGAGAGGGTCGTGCTCCTGCTGTGCTTCCTTGCACCCGGGCACCAGCGTGGAGCAAATGTTCCAGAGTACAGCAAGGAGCTGTTGCACTGACAGGGAGGCATCTTTTCACTTAGTCATTTTCCTGGCCCACTGCCAGATCATCAAAAGCAGCTCCTTTAATGAAGAAAAAACTTGCTTTGCTGTAATTAGGAAAAGTGTGGCAAGTCACAGAAGGAATTAGGAGCTGGGCTTTGATGATCCCTGTGGGTCCCTTCCAGCCCAGGATATTCCATGGTTCTGTGAAGGAATGCCTGGATCACACCAAGCTCAGCACCAGCACAGTCCCAGGAGGGCACTGGGCTTGCTGGGGACGTGGGCTGAGGTCTCACAGTGCCACTCCTGGTATGGATGCCCAAAAACCTTTGAAAGGTCTGGTGTGCACCAGTCCCAGTGGGGTTTCCAGTAATATCTCATCCTGGGGACAGAAAAGCTATTTGTTATTCATTGATAATAATAACAACAACAATAACAATAAATGCTGGCTTAGTTCTTTTTTGCTGGAATTGTATTGTCAGTCAGACATTTCCCAGCCTGTCACTGGGCCGTTGGGTGATGATTATAATGAGGAATGGATCCTGACCTCTGAACTCCACAGGATCTCTTCCATTCCACACCTGGCTCCAGAAGGTTCCTCAGCCACTGGCAGGGGTGACCAATAGAATGTGGGATGTGGAATCAGAGCTCTGCAGTTCCGTGGGATGTCCATATGCATGCTCAGATCAAACACCAGCTGGTTGGAAAAATGTGTTTATTTTTTGCTTTTCATGCTTCATCCGACAGCAGTTCCTTGGTTCACTGGCCTGACTGTGATAAATATTTTTGCAAGGGTAGAGTTTCCTGGTTGTAACCCTTCTGCAGAGGGTTCCTGCTGGATCCCTCCCAAACCCCTCCACAACTTAGCACTGGTCAATATTTCCTTTTAATGGCATCCTGTGTAGCTGCAAAGCACTTTTTGTTTGCCTGCCTGTGGCTGATGTGCTGCTCTCATCATCAGCACTGCAATGCTCCAGTGTTCTTCCCTCTAATCCAGATAACTTCATGCCAGCTTAAATGTGCTGCTTTTATCCTCTTCTTCTGAAGGGGGGCTGAGTTAGCACTGCCTTGTCCAGGGTCACACACAGGGAGATTTTCTCATGGCATTGCAGTGGCACAGCATCTCCTGTGTTCCCCATTAGTCCTCTGCCATTCTTCTTGCTCCACAGTCTTCCTCCTTGCCTATCTCCCTTTCTTTGCTCTTCTTCCCAATTATAAATTGCTGGAGGACATTTGTCATTTTGCTGTGGAGAGCACAATCCACCTGGCATGTCTTGGGAGTCTGGAAAATCTCAGCACAGGTTATTCAGCAGGCCAGGATTTTTGTTTCCTTGAAGATGAAGAATTCTCATTTTCACAACAAGAAATTACTTTATTTTGCTAAAGTGGCAACTCTGGCAATGCAACATCATTGTATATTTACAGACTAATTTCAGAAATCCACACAGATTCCTTTCCTCTTCTCCACCACCACAACTCTCTTGTCTGACTTGGTTGCCAGACTTTCTCTGGGAGTTCAGTCTCACTTAATTCACCAAGAATGTGGCTCCTTCTGCCATACTCAGTGCCTGGAGTCTAAATCAGGACATTTCTGGTGAACTTCAGCTTAAGATAAGTCTGACCTACCTAGAATTGAGGTTTCCAGACCCAGCGTGATGAGGCTCTGCCATTACCATGAAGTTCTCTGCCTGTATCTGTGCTAGCCTTGCCTTTTATATAATCTAATAGTCCTTTGCCAAGGAGTAAAATGTAATAGGAACTATTTTTGTGATTTTGGGAGTATTTTTGCTGGCTCTGAGCTCCTTGGAATAGATGCCGCCTCCTGTTATGATGTCACCGCTCCTGGTGCTTGCCAGTAGACTATCAACGTTTTCAAAATCAAGATAAGAAAATCAAGATTAAAACCTGGTATTTTGCCTCCATGTAGGTCAGATGAAGCACAGAAACCAAATTTTTAACAGAAGAGGAGCATTGATGGGGAGAGAAGGATTTCAGAAAAACTGGGACAATCCAGTGGCAAGCACAGGAGACCAGAGAGTTCCTGGTTTCTGGTTCAGACTATGTGAAACCATTTTGCAGAGCAGCTGTGGAAGTGAAAATCAGCAAAAGGAGGGTTGGTTTAGAATTGCCTCATGGAAATTTTGGAAGTCTTTCTTTCTCTCAAGGAATTTCAGCCCACATCTTCTCTTTTGTCACAGGAAGCTGCCAACAGCCTGCCCTGGGCTTGGCCTGTCCTTACATCCCTGACCCCGAATGTCATTCTGGGAACGGTACAGAGTGGCTGGAGCAGGGACTCCAACAAATCTTGGGAGTTTAGTCTTGGAAAAAGTGTAGCCAGAGCTTCATGGCAATTTTGTGAGGGACTTCTGAATGCTCAAACCCTGCTTTCCTACTCCCTTGTTCTGAGATAGTAATTTTTCATTTAGGAGCAGAGAACTGAAGGCAAAGAATAATGTCAGTTGGGATGAGGCTTGTACTAAAATTCCAGCTGCAGCCCCATCTAACAGTGCTGAAATTAAATGGCTTAAGGACAGTGTGGAAGAACTGAACCTCTGGAGTAAAGTCAAGGTTTGAGAGTTGGAGTGTTTTTTTAGTATTTTTGGTTAAAAAAATGCTAAAGACCTTTTGAGATTGCTGTTGTTTTATGTGCCTTTGGAAAGTGCTGCCTGACTTCTTCATCTCAGGCATTTGAGCCATCTAAGAGCAGCTTGGTGGATTTTTTTAAAGTGCTGTTTTGTGAATGTTAGTGCTTTGTCAGCAAATCCGTTCAGTTCTGGTTCTTACTATCATTTTCCTTGCAAAGGGATCCCTCATCAAGAAATGTTCTTGAATATTTTAAGCTAATTATGTATGTACATATTTTGGTGTTGGGTAAAGATTAAATATAAATTAAAAACCAACACAGAGAAACATATTCCCCAATGGATTGTGAGAAACTTTCTCCCACTGTAAAACACTTGTGTCCCAGTAGATGTAACATGGATATTTTGAGAGCACTGGAATGTTTAAGGGTTAAGAGATGGCTCTCACAGATGCTTTGGATGTGTTCTCTAGAGGCCAAGCCAAGGAACAGTGTGTCCTGTCCTTTTGTCTGTCCTGATTTCTAATGAGTCAGTCCCTGATTTCCCTCCAGTGAATGGGCAGACACACACCTTAAGAGAAAAGATACTCATGTCTCTGTTCATGATCTTCCATGTTTCAGGGAACATTGGAAACTTCCAACCCTTTCCTTGTTGTTTCTTCTTTTACCACTTGAAAATGTTCTTGGGAGATTTGATCTCGCTCTGTGGATTGCTGGGTGCATTAGCACAGCTTCTGCTTGCCAGAGCTCTCACTAAGCAGAACTGGTTTCAATAAATCATTGGAACTTTGGAAAGTCTGGAGTTCCAGTCATGGCAGCTCAGAAGAGGGAGGGGGAACAGGAATACAAGAGCTTTTGCAGCTGGGAAAGAGCAAAGGTAATTCTCCACAGAGGAGTCTGAACAGAGAGGTCTCTGATGGAAGGCTGGGGGAATCATTCTCTTACAGGCTGGATTAATATTTCATCCAGAGAGGTGGAACAAAGTCTTGTTCTGGTTGAAAGTGGAGGAAGTGAGTGATTCAGCTTATTTTGTCAGGCATCTCCCTGCCTGTGAGGAGGTGCAGCACAGCATTTTTGTAGCCATGGAGAAGGAGTGCTGTGTCTGGAGTGCCACTTGGAGATGCTGGAGCAGTTGCTTGGCCTTTGTCTCAGGTCTGTGCAGCTGATCCCTGCCTTGCTTTCCCAAGCAGTAAAATCTCCACCCCAGATTTAAATTTCTCTTTGTCAGTGATTGAGGCTCATACCCAGCACCTCTATTTCATTCATATCCAAACTGCTCAGGATTACCTGTGTCTGTCAAGGTTTGAAGTAGTGATCTTCTTATTTCTAATAAATCCTTTAGCATGAAACTGGCTTTAATCCCCCTTTGCTATTCCTGTTCCCTGTCCAGGGTAAG